AGTCCTCCGACGGCTCCGCGGGGGCGCGGCGGGGGGAACGCGCGGCGGGAGGCAGGTCTGGGTTTGAATCCCGCTCCTGAGCCTGTGGTCTCGGATAAACACTTCACTCTGCACTGCAGTTCCCGCCTCTGTGGGATGGGGCTGATCGGATAGATATGCTGGACTTGGAAACGTGTCTGTATCCATTCATACTAGGAACAATGTACCCCGAAGTCAGAATATGCAGCGACACATGAGATGATGGGGTGCAGGGTTGGGGAGGGAAAAAAACAGGTTTTCCCTTTTAAAACGATATGTTTTTGAACTTTTAACCACAAGTGTTACCTGTGTTATGTTTAAAAATAAATAATATAAAATATTTGTTTAATATTTTATTTTAAATTATTATTTAAACAAATAATATATATAAAATGGCTGATATAGAATAGGTGATAAATGGTCACTACTATCTATCTATTTATTTTTAGGGGAGAGAATGAACGCAGACCGCCTCTACCACAAATTACGCTGTCGAGTTTCCCACATTTGGGGAAATTGCAGCACGTGCGGAGTGCAGTGGACAAGCCTCACTCTGGGAAAACCGCTTTTGTGATCAATGTATCTCCCCTGCCGGGTAAGTGTGGTCACTATTACTTAAACATGTTTATTTGCCATTTACTCATGAGCCATTGTGTATTTTGGGTCTACTAAAAAAGTGTTTTCTTTTTAATTAATTTGAGAGAGAGAGAGATTTGTTATTCCACTATTTATGCTTTCATTGGTTGATTAAAATTTTTTAAAATATATTTTTATTGATTTCAGAGAGGAAGGGAGAAGGCGAGAGAGAAACATCAATGATGAGAGAAAATCATTGATTGGCTGCCTCCTGCACGCCCCCTACTGGGGATTGAGCCCGAAACCCAGGCATGTGCCCTTGAGAGGAATCGAACCCCGGACCCTCCACTCCACAGGCTGACGCTCTATCCACTGAGCCAAACCGGTCATTATTGATTTCAGAGAGGAAGCGAGAGGGAGAGATAGGAACATCAATGATGATGTTTTGGCCCTGTGTCCTAAAGAGCCTGGGAAGATAACAGGTTAATGTTCCCCTCCCAGGAGGGTGGTTTATCTAGGGACTGTTGGGGACAGTCCTAACCAAGAGGCATATTTATAGTCATGGACTTGGAGCAGGAAGCCCCTTTGCTCAGCCCTCAGAGTTCAAAGCAGATGATGAAACGCCCAGCCCAAGGGCCCAGGAAGGTATTTTAGGTCAGTGCGCCCCAGTCCCACCCCATCAGCATTCACTCATCCACAAGGAGGCCAGGGACGGGACAGGAAGGTGGGGCTGAAGACAGCAGAGTGGGAAGGGAGCCGGGGAGGATGGGAAAGGTCTGCCTTTGACATTTGTAACTGCCCTGCACCGAGGGGCAGAAATAGCCCTTTCCATTAAGTAGTGGCTGCAGACCAAAGAGCTCATGAGGCTTATCCAGCTGTCACCGCTCCTGACTTGATGGTCTGAAAATATGGGATAAAGAAAAGAATTTACGATGCCTCAGCAACTTGTGAAGTACCAGGAAAATGTGTGGACACTGTCTCAAAGATTTAAAAAGACGCTTCTTAAAAGATTCTGTAATAAGAGATGTTCACCCAAAAGCATCTCTTAGGGATAGGACAGATTAAGGATAAAGATCGGGGAAAGGCTGAGCATTTGTCTGACTTCAAGCTTAGCATAGTGATTTAATAATAATAATAATAATAATGTATAGCTAACGTATTTATAGCACTTACTCTGTGTATAGTCCTCATCATAACAGATTTGGAATCAAAGACACAAAGAGAAATTCAGTAATTTGCCCCAAATCTCACAATTAGAAGCTACTATCTGTATAGGTTGTATGCAAGTGAAATTTTTGAGAAATTTAGTTGAGTTCCTTTCATATTTTTTTAAAAATATTTTTCTTTATTGATTTTAGAGAGGAAGGGAGAGGGAGAGAGAGATATAAACACCAATGATGAGAGAGAATCATTGATTGGCTGCCTCCTGCACACCCCCTATTGGGGATCGAGCCCGTAAACCAGGCATGTGCCCTTGGCCGGAATCGAACCTGGGACCCTTCAGTCCGCAGGCTGACGCTCTATCCACTGAGCCAAGCTGGCTAGGGCTCCTTTAATATTTTTTTTTTCTGCTAGTTGGCCAGTGACAACTAAGGAAGTTGTATTTGTGTTGAATTAAATCACATTGTAAACGAATGTTTCCTGTCAGACATTGTTCCTACTCCAAGAAAATACTGATGCTAATACCAGTGGGTACAGGTGGGGCCAGAAACTGATGTAGGACTGTCTGTTTTTGGTCTGTGGTCATGGCAACCATTTTCAGAAAGCCTGGTGTTTGCCTTTCTGCCTCTTGGAATCACCGTTTACTCAACTCCTTTGTTCCAGAAGAGCCACTCGGTTCCCAATTGCTACACACCAGGCTGGTGTCCAGCCATTGATCCCCAGTGTCCTGTCACATTATTTCACACCGTTCTTTCACTGAGGCCATTCTCCTGGCCATTTGGCTTTGCCTTGGCCCCTTTAGCTCACCCTACAGCAGTTACGAGAGCAGCCTCTTGTGACCTGTTTTCTACCAGGAACCTCGGGTGGGGACCCCCTGGCCATGCTTACCTTTCTGTTCATCACCTCACCTTGCACATAGTAGGCGTTTAATAAATGCTTGGGGGATTAGCCCGTGAGTGAGAAATGGTGAGCACTGCCTCAGCTTGGGCCACGTCCCAGGACTTTCTGGTGGTGGTTTCGCCCCATCATGGCTGAGCTGGCTCTAGGCTGATGAAACGATGAAAAAACAGGATGTGACCCGTCTGGTAAGATGAGGACCAAGACGTGGATGGATGTTCCGGTCTCCTAATTTGGTCAGAAACTCCCCAAGCCAGAATTCTTCTTGATTTGAATCCAAATTTCAATCTACCAGGGCCTCTCAGCAGGTCCTGGCGTCCTCGGGGACAGACTTTGCCTGGGGACTGCCCTGAGCCGTGTGTCTGTCCATTGGCATTCTGAAAACAGGAAGGGCTCGGTAAATGTTCATGGAATTGAATGAACTGATTGGACAGAGCCTTGGCAGCCATTACGTTTGCAAAATCATCAGCAGGTTGACAACTATGTTAAGTGGTTTGAACCCAGGTAAACAGCCTCTTACATATGGGTTTGGAAAACATGGCCATGAACAAGAGCTTCTGGGTTAGGCATCCAGAATGTTTGAGGATATTGATTGTCTGCTAAATCAGGAAGATTCCTCAATGATATTTTTTCTGTGATAGCCTTGACATAGCTGATAGAACAGATTTAATAAAATGGTTCCCATCACTGGGAATGAGGAGCAACCAGCCAGTACTTGTCCCCCCTACACAAGCCTCCACTCAGCCCCATCCTTAGGATCTTAGAAAGTGACAGCCATACCCAGCTTATCTACTTCATAGGCTATTGTAAAATAAAATAAAAATGATAGCATGTGTGTGAAAAACGTAGAGTCATATAGAAAAATAAGCCAGAGTTATGATCAACAATGCTGTTCAAATGTATTTTTAGTTCATATGCCACATAAATCAAGACTCAGCCTTGTGTGAAGACTTAAAGCTGCCCCGTCATGTTGTCCAGAGTTCTTTGCTGTCTCAGATGCTCTCTCAGAGCCCAGCAAGTCTCAGCAGGGAGGCGCCAGTGACAGAGTACGTTAATGTGTTCTCACAGCAGGCCTGGCATCTGTGCCAGGGGTTGGGGAAAAAAGTGATGTTGCTATTTGGGCAGAACCTGTCTTTCTGACTAAGAAATCTGGCAGCAGATACGCCACCAGGACCAAGTTCTGTGATGTCGTCCCAGCTTGGCAGGCTCCTTGTGCCTTGGGGTTCCTGGACCAGAATGTGAGGTGCTGGCCCTGGCCGGGTAGCTCAGTTAGTTGGAGCATCCTCCAGCTATGCCAAGGCTTTGGGTTCGATCACTGGTCAGGGAACATACAAGAATCAACCAATGAATGCATAAATAAGTGAGACAACAAGCCTCTCTTTCTCTCTGAAATCAATAAATAACCCAGCCGGCATGGCTCAGTGGTTGAGCGTTGACCCATGAACCAAGAGGTCACTGGTTCGATTTCAGGTCAGGACACATGCTCAGGTTGCAGATCCCCAGTAGGGGGCGTGTAGGAGGCAGCCCATGAGACTGAGGGAAGTTTCTCTCTATCCCTCGTCCTTCCTCTCTCTCTAAAAAATCAATAAAAACATAGAAGAATAAAATCAATAAAAAAACCCCAACAATGTGAGGTGCTGTGGGCTGGCACAGGTTTAGCAACTGCTGAGGACAAAGATTCTCAGGGAAGATGTGGTAGGGACGAGGCTTGAGGACTCCAAGAACTTTGAGAAAACAGAGCAACCTATTGTTTCCTTCTTGAGTCCGAAATTGCACTCAATGTACTGGCCACACAAAGTACTGTGACCAATTCCAAGATCAACTGCAGATGTAAGTGAAGAGCAGGAAATAGTGCATCCTGTCCCAGGGGAGGAAGGTGTCAGAGACTCATCTTCCCTCCCCAGAGAGGCTCCTACAAGAGAATAAAAGTCCATGTGATAACTGGGCCCAATTTCCCCCTCTCTCCGAATCCCGGAAGTAAATGAAGACTATTTTTCTGAGTAAGGCAGAGGATACGGAGTGACAGGCTCGGGGGGTGGGGTGGCCCTGTCCTGGTTGAAAGGTATCCCTTTCAGAGCAGAGCAGGCAAGATCACGTGAGTGCTGGAGTCCATGGCCAGGATCATAGCAAGTTACTTCTACCAACTGAGCTTCAAGAAATGGCTTCTTTGCCTGGATGGTGTGGCGCAGTGGTTGAGTGTTGACCTATGAACCAGGAGGTCAAGGTTCAATTCTCAGTCAGGGCACATACCCTGGTTGTGGGCTCGATCCCACTAGGGGGCGTGCAGGAGGCAGCCAATCAATGATATGCTCTCATCATTGATGTTCCTAGCTCTTCCTCTCCCATCTTCTCTCTGAAATCAGT